AGGAAGGAAGGAAGGAAGGAAGGAAGGAAGGAAGGAAGGAAGGAAGGGAAAGATCAGTCTCTTTTTATTTCTTTTTATTTTTACCTTCCCTGGTTTTCCAAATTTGTCAAGAACATTGTGACCAAAAATGTAACATGAGCCTTCACTTGTCTAATGTCTGTGTAGAAAGTGTTACAGCCACACAGATAAATAGAACAATGACTTACAGTATTAATGTGGATTAGCCAATGGGAAATAAGCCCCATACAACTGAGGACTTAAGACAGATTGATGGATATTCATGTCAGATACTGTTTAAAGTCCTCTCTGGCTTAGGACCAATCAAAGAGGAACAGTCAATTCCCATGTTCTTAGATCATCCACAAGAAACCTTTTATGTGTACTGTTGCAAATATGCTAGACATCTATAATCTATAAGGTTTTATCAGTTCATTTAAAATGCTGTTTAAAACTTATTTCAAGAGGCTATGGTGCAGATAGTCTTCGCTTACCAACTGCAATAGGGTCTGGTAACTCCTTCATTAAGTGAAGTAGTGAGTCGTTAAGCACAATGTCATGTGACCACATTGAGTTACGACATCAGTTCTGGGTTTTGGCTGCAGCCTTTAAGGCTATGTCTGCCCATGTTAACAAATATATAAAAGTTAACTTTGCATGAAGCATGGTGTAAATTGTGGGCTTATCATAGCTCTGCTGCTTGCATGAGTCTTACAAAGATCATTGTGCCATTTTCAATTATATGGATTATTTTATGTCAACAATTATGCATAATATATCCTAATTTACATAGATTTATTCTAGGTTTTTCATTTATAGGGAAAAGCCAAGAACTACAATAGCATCAGCTTTTTATTGTCAGGCAGGGAAATCTTAATTGAACTGCATCTCTGGTTTCCTAAAAATTAGGCAAGTATTGCCCATCCATTTTAAACATGGTTTCTCTATTGTAACTGCTACGAATTTGTAAACTAAATATGAGTCAGTAGTTTTTAGGAGAGTGTATTTGTTGCCCAATCCTGTTCTATTTTTAGAAGTGTCTACATACATATTCAACACGCAAGCATATCATTGGCAAAACAATAAGTGTGTAATTGTGAAAGGCTATATAGCCAAAACGCAACAATATTGTACTGATCATACAATTTGAGCCCTATTGTGAATTCCTCTAATGAGTACCTTGAGATGTTCAATCTTTTCCTGTTGCTTGTACAAGGTCTCGGTCATGATGCTGTCTGCCTCAGTAATGGAGTCGGGCATCTCTCTAGTGAGCTGTTCTGTCAGCTTGAGGATGACTTGTTGCTTGGCTTCGTTTTTGTCCATCAAGAGTTGCACGTGTTCCCTCAGCTCCTTGATGTGCTCCTCCTTCAAAGCAGCCTCCTGCTCCAGGTCTCTCTTTTCCATCTCTAGCACTTGAACCTGCCTGTTCAGCTCAGCAATCTGCCTCACTTTGTGGCGCACCAATTCCAGCCTGTCTTTTTCTGTAGCTGTGACCAGATATCTGCAGGACTCTCGTTTCTCTTGCTGAGCTGCCTCCAGAGCTTTTTGGAGAAGTTTGACCAGTTCCTGTAGGAGAAAAAAAAAAGAAAGAAAGAAAATCTATCCATGTCTATTAAACCGGGTAGGAGCTATAGAAACAACCCACCACTATATACTAAAAACCCAAGAGTAGCAATGGGAAAGAAAGGATCTCCTGGTTTTCCATTTAGGGCAGGGGTTTGCAACCTGAAACACTCAAAGAGGCATTTGGACCAATTTCCCACAGAAAAGAAAACACCGGGAGCCTCAAAACCTGGGTGGGCATGGCCAACTCAACATCACTCCCACCAGTCACATGACAAGTCCCCACCACACCTACCCAGGTTTTGTGGCTCCTGGTGTTTTCTGAGTGAAATGGGACTCTCTCTCTCTCTCTCTCTCCTCCTCCCTCCCTCTCATTTTTGTTTTTTTGTGTTTTACCTTCTCAGGCCAGGTGAGGAATGACTGAGAGGAGAGGGTAAGGGGCATGGCCATCCAGTGGTGGGATCACCAACAGGGAGCCCAAAGAGCTGCATGCTGCTCCAGAGCCGCATGCAGCTCCAGAGCCGTGGGCTGCTGACACTCAATTTCGAGCTTCTTAGGTGCATCTGGTAGGTCACTGTATGAAACAGAAGACTTGCTAGTTAAGCTTAGGTCAAATTCAGCAGGGATATTTTTATGTTCTCTTCGTCTCATGAAAACACATTACTTTGTAGTTCAACCCTGACAAAATAACTCTTTAATTACAGAAAGAAAAACATACATATAAAAGACATAAGTCAAGCTCTCCACACTTGTAGCACATCTGGAATTTTGGCAGCATGTTTTAAGCACCTTGAAGAAAATGGCTGAAATGAAAACGGCTGAAGTGATAGGCACAGACAATAATAAATTATTTAATGGGAAACTGATTAACAATTGTTTCCTACCTGCTCCTCTGCCTTCCACAACACCCTCTTTTATCCTTGTTTTTTTCCCCTCTGGGCAATTAGGTAGATTGTCCTGTAAAGGACCAAAGCAACACAAAGCACCAAGCCTGCAGGTTCCAACGTTTTGTTTTCTAAAATGCTTCTGGGTCAATTTGGAGCCTGTATCACAGACATTGCTGGAAATAAACGACATTTGAAGCTGATGCTTTGCAGAATTGTATCTTTTTTTCTTTGATTAAAATATTTTTTAAAAAAAAAATCAACATGTAGCAGGTGGTCTTGTGGATGCCAATCAAAGTACACTTAAAGAACATGTTGTGGACCAAGATATAGATGAATACAATTCATAGCTCTCCTTCATCTAAAGTGAGGTGAGAAAAAAATCATGGTGGCAGATTTGCCTTCCAAGGAACTTGGGCCCAGTTAAAATGTTTTTCCATTCCCTCCTTCTAAGACTATAAGCAAACTAACAAAAAGTAGCAGAGTAGCATATGTGCCATGCTGTGACAGGAAGATTAAAAATATATATATATATTGGCAAGATCTCTATGGAATTTTGAGCATAAACCAGCCATAGCCATCACTGGGATGATGTAATAATGCCTTTCCTCATTGTTATTATTTTGGCACAAAAATGACTGGATGATTCTAAAAGACACTATAACTCTCTAGTGGCCATAGACCTACCTCAAGCAATTTTAGGATTTTAGATTACAATGTCAAAAGATGGTACATCTGACTTGGTTACTATAGGTCATCTTAACACAGACTGAAGTTCTCTGTTTCCTTGAATCATCCTCAAGATAAAACAGCTGATTCATAAGTTCCCCATAGCCATTGGGCTTGTGATATTCATATGATGTATCCCGGAGAGCCACTTTGAAGTGACTTGTTGTTACATTAAATAACAACTCTTGGGAAAACTACCACAAATGTTGGGAATGTCCCGTCTGTTATACAAGCAGCTCTTAGGACCATTCTCTGAAAATGACATTGCATTTTCAGTCTCTCTCTCTCTCTCTTTTTGAGAAAATGTAGGACAGGAGTGGGGGGAAGTGAAAATGTCACAGTTATTGGGGTGTGTACAGAATTGAGTAGCACAGCATTTGTACAATGGCAAGACCCTCTCCCTCCTCAAATCAGTTCTTGTCATCTGAAGTTGCAGGAATGAAAACACACACACACACACACACACACACACACACACACACTTGCCTAACATTCTGGAGAACGATAGGCGAGATGGCCGCAAAGTTTCTTCCAGTTTAACATAGCATTCAGAATTGTTCTGTGTGCAGCACAGAAACATCATACATAGATCCAAAGCAAATATTTCCATATCTGGAAAGAATCTATATTTCTTTCATATAAGAATGACCCAAATTTTCATTCCACTAAAAAGTACAAATGGCAATAACCAGTACTAAATTTCCAAAGACAAATTAGGGGGAAATTGAAAAGATTCTGAGAGCTGGTATTGTGCTAATATTTAGCACCAAAAATGGAAACTTTCTATATTTTTCTGAAAGGAAGATGAAGTTCCCTCTTCCCCCAAACTGTGTGAATTGAGAAGGTCTTCTTTGCTCCCTACAACTAGATGTTCCTGAAAGCAAGGGAATATTTCCTTAGATGTAGAGAATGGGGACAAACACCTGCCATTTAGACCCATCTCCATAATTAGGGGCCTGGAGGCTAAAACACATGAAAAACAGTTGCAAGAACAGGGCCTGGCTAGTGAAGAGAAGGACCAAGGATGACAAGATAGCAGTATTTCAATGTTTGAGGTTCTGTCGGAGAGAGGAGGGGGACAACCTATTTTCAAAAGCACTTAAAAGCCAGACAAGGAACAATGGATGGAAACGGATCAAGGAAAGAGTCAACTTAGAAAGAAGGAGAAGTTTTCTGATAGTGAGAAGAATCAACCAATGGAACCACATGCCTTTAGAAGTTGTGGGTGCTGCATCTCTGAGGCTTTTAAGAAGAAACTGGACAGCCACTTCTCAGAAGTGGTATAGAGTCTCCCGCTGGAGCAGGGATTTGGACGAGATGACCTCGGAAGATCCCTTCCAGTTATTCTGTTATTCTGTATTCTATTCTGTAGCAACCCACAGATTATCCAAGGACATTCCAGTGAGTTCATTGATCCCGCCTATATGACATCCATTCTCAGCCCCTTAGCTATTGCCAAGCATTGTCATCTTTTTCCTGCCCATCATTTGTTCACATATAATGCCCAGAGCAGAGTTTCTCAATCTTGGCAGCTTGAAGATGTATGGACTTCAACTCCTAGGCCCCAATATGGCCTAGACTAGAGTATATCAATTCCTGCTTGCTGATAATTTCTTCACCTTGGGCTTTATTTACATCATGAATGAAGGCAAATATACATATCCCAGGATAATGTTGCAGGGCCCAATCTGGGTCGGTATCCAGGACTAGAGGTTTAGTTTTCCAAGCTTTTGAACTTGTGCTGGGGTTCCTTCTCAGGGAACTTCTCTTTGGCAGAATGTGTGCTTTGGGCTATTCTATGTGTAGTATTTATGTGATGCCTGGTTATGTGTGGTTTTTTACTTGTTGGTTGGGGTGATTGGGGATTTATTTATATCAGAATTAGGATACTGAATCTTCTTTCATATATGGAACACCTACTAGCCATCTCCAAGTAAGTCCAGAAATATTTCACAAGAAGAGTTCTCCACTCCTCTACTCATTGTAGAATACCTTATGCCACCAGACTTGAAATTCTAGACCTAGAAAACCTTAAATCTAAACCTTAAATCTGATCTAAATATGGTATATAAAATCATACATTGCAATGACTTACCTGTCAATGAATACTTCAGCTTCAACCATAACAACACAAGAGCACACAATAGATACAACTCAAGGTTAACCGCACCAAACTTGACTGCAGGAAATACGACTTCAGCAACAGAGTGGTCAGTGTCTGGAATACTCTTCCTGACTCTATAGTTTCTTCCCCAAACCCCAAAAACTTTAACCTTAGACTATCTACTATTGACTTCACCCCTTTCCTAAGAGGTCTGTAGGGGGTGTGCATAAGCGCACCAATCGTGCCTACCATCCCTGTCCTATTGATTCTTTTATTTTTCTTATATGTGCCCATTTCATGTATTCATAACTATGTATATGCTTATACCTATTATCTTGTAAGCGCTTGACAAATCAAATAAATATAAATAAATAAATAAATAAATGAGTTTTTCCTCCTCTCATTCTATTAAGTATCCAGCTTTCATAGGTATACATTATTGAGAAAATGCTTTAACTATTCTGATGGATTTGGCCATTGCAATATGATTTGTTTTCATGATCTTGACTGTCACTGCCCTCATTGCTATGAGCAATTGTTGAAATAAATTGTTTACCACTTTATTGCTTCAAGATAAATGGTGAAGTCACTAACCTCACTGCTTGGCAGTTCCTTTGTTTCCTTAATGTTTAACACTCTATTAACCTGGGTTTGTTATGCCAGTTGTACTTTCAACATGAGCTCTTCTAAATCAGGGGTGTCAAACTCACATCATCACGGCATCGTAACATGACGTATCGTGACTCCCCCCCACCTTTGCTAAACTGGGCGGGGGCAGGCCAGCATGTGATGCATCTGGCCCAGGGGCTGCAAGTTTCACCCCTGTTCTAAATCCTTACTTTCAGTTACTGGAGAGATAGTTTGCAAACAGTAAGAACTTGATTTTTATGGATGCAATGCAATGGATTTTGAATGCAACAGGATGAAATGTGGTTAAGATTTCAGCTGCAAAATCTGCTTTTTTCCGAAACAGAACTGATGACTAAGATAATTTATATCATCTGCCTAATTACCTACTTGACATTATTACATATGTTTTCTATCATTTGTATCAATTTGTGTCACTTGTATAATTAGACAAATATGTAATCTCATGCACACTATGTAATTAAGTCAAATGCGTAATCACACAAATTACGCAAATTACTTTTTTGTACATGTTTTCATTGCCCAATTCCTTGCTCAGGCAAGAGACCCTATATCATTTAAGACAAAAGGTTGTCCAATTTCTTCTTAAAATGTCCAATGATGGAGCACCCACAATTTCTGGAGAAAAGTTGTTCCAC